GATAGCTGAGCGGTATTGTGAACCATCTTCTCACTTGGAATTGTTGAAAGTACAATGAGAATAATTGTTGCCAAGAGTGTATTGTGTTTGCTTTGAGCCTTTTGTACCACCTCTTGGCATCCCCTACTAAAGTGACTACGAAACAGTGGCACTTTGCCAAGTCGAAGACCTGATGTAGCTTCATCAGGTCGTTGAAAGAATCAAGGTGATCTTTAGGATCCCCTTTCCCGTTGAACTTACTCTCTGGTGTCCTGAATCCCTAGGAAAGTGGGGCTTGACAAACTTCCTCCGTGAATGGAGAACTCACTATCTCTTCTACCGAATCATTCTGGTGGACTCTTAGATCGTCGAACATTCTCTACACCCGATCTAAGTCCTTATTATGAGTAGTATTTTGCCTGCGAGCTCTATTCAGCCTTACCTTAAGCAGGTGAGTCTAGAGATCAGTTGCTTATGATCTTGCTCTATCATGTGCATTAGTGCACGAGGTGGAGTCACGATGGCTTGGTCGATTAAGTACTATCATGCTCATTTGTGCGCTACTCGTGACATTGGTTAAAACCAAAACATCGATCATTGCCAGATTGGCATGCGGGGCTCATCTCGCAAGCTTACGAGCTTGAGCCCGCCTTTGGCGTAGGTGTGTCGCCGAGTTGGGCGAGCATCCCTTTGTCGACCATGGTTTTCATTCTCCCCCACAGGCTTTTTGCCTAGTCGCCCCTCGAGGTTAATTTGCCACGGGATTTGCGCTCGTGAGCGGAATGCTCCCTGCGGTGTTAAGGGTTACGGTCGCTCCTTGGTGTCGACGAGCCAAATTGGTCATCGATCAAGCCATTGGGACCTGTTGGAGTAACCTCCATGAAGCATGGCTGATCAAGGTCCTGCTGGGCCAGTTATTCATTTCTCAACTCAACCACATTCTGTTACACCGCCTGCACAACCATCATCCTTATCATCTCCATCAGTTGGCCATTTTTCAGGATTTGAAGTCCTTACTCCCTACTGATTTTTGGCTTATTGCCCCAATGGTCGACCTAAAGGGGCAGTTTACTGCACCTCCTAATTAGCGATTTCCACGTTGTCATGGTTTCTGGTGGTGGTTTTCGATCTAGTATGGGCCATTTGACACTTCAGGTGATTGGGTCACTGAAATTACTTGACGAAAATTTTGAAAGTAGGTGGAGACCTTCCTTCTAGCGCCAAAATGTTGATACAAGATTTACATCAACTAGAGTGATCCAATTGACCTTGATGGAATCGAAACCGATGTGTGCATGATTAAAAATAACCAGCAATGTGATGAATTTGAATGCAGAAAAGTAAAGAACAATGAATAATTTTTTTAATGGTTCAGCAAGTTAGAACTTGAGCCTACGTCCACTATTTTTCTTATTTGCTTTGACAGCTTATAAGGAAATAGTATAATGCCTATTACAATTTGCTAACCCTTGTTCCATCGTTGGAAGGGGTTTATATACAAGTTTTTTAGAAAGGAAAGAGCGAAATTAAAGGATTTACAATTAAGATTGAAATGCAACTCTGATATTCTCGCGACTATCATTACTGTTGATCTGATCTCTTCCAAAATATCTGGGATTTGAGCTCATCTGTGACTTGCTTGAACAACTGTCAAGATTGGTCGCGACTAGATTATGCTGGGTCAAGCTATATCTTGACGAGCTTATGCTGGGTTGGACAAGTGTTAAACCGAACTTATTCTGGGTCGAACTATAACCTCGTAGAATTTTGACTTCTCTGAACTTAATAGAAAAATCACACTCCATATATGTGTGTGTGTGTGTGTGTGTGTAAAGAGCGCATTAATTCCAAGATCTCGAGCTTATTGATATATTTTATATATAAAGACATCGATCCTCAGAATATATTGTGAGCAATATATATATACATTAATTATATAATAGCAAACAAATTATACATTAATTTCTACATTAATTTTACAGCAATATTTTGAGTGTGTTTTGTGTGGCCTCCCCAAAAAAGAGCCCTATTTCTTTTCTTGTTCTAGTAAAGAGACTATCAACAGTCCATAAGTTCTTATTATTATGCAATGGAAACATAAACTTAATGCTAACCATTTAAATATAATAATAACAACTACTAAAGCAGAAATAAATGGACAAAATTAAATGTAAAAATAAAGAATACTAAGAATTAATGAGGTTCGGTATTATAACTTACGTCTTCGGGCGCTGCAAAAGAAAACTCCACTATCTCCAAATAATATTACAACTTTTTGGGCAATACTACAAATACCCAAACTATATGGGCATTAAAACAATTACCGAAAACAAAGAGGAGATACAACAAAACTTTTCAACTAAAGGGTCTTTAATGAAAGAACCCTAACAAGAGGGGTGTAATGAAAATACAATTTGTTATGCTTATTACTATGTCTTGAGTCTTTATATATAGGCCCCAAAAGTTCCTCTACTTTCATTTCTAAGCAATTTGGGACATACTAACTTTTGGCCTATTTTATATAAGTCCCTAAACCTTTCTCCATTTTTACTTCTACCCCATGAGGGATTTTGCTAAATGAGCCATTTTTCCAACACTTATTAACAGGTTTTTGAGGGTCGATGTCTTTGTGTTGGAGAAGTTCAGACAATGCTTCTGAGAGAATAAGCTTAGTTGGTGGTGGAGTCGCCGGAGATGGAGATTCTTGTAGAGGAGATGAATCACAGGTATTTATGGTGGATTGGATTCTTATAATATCAACCCCTCCATCGTTATTCATCACCACTACGCTGCTCGGCAACCTCTCGGCATAGAATCCTTTGTTCTTTCTCATGTGTCTGTCGAAACATTTACACATTTTCTCAGTACTCACCTTAGTTCCTTGACAATATGTTTCAATTCTTCCTTTATTATTGAACAAACCTTCAAGTTGATTTTGTTCAAAGCAAGCAAGAAATTTAGTCAAAATTGTTTTCTAAACAGTTAAATAACACCAACTAATGTGATATTGGTTTTTAAAGCCAAGGATGTTCATGCTATATGTAGTTCTTTTCTCTAAAGAATGTCCACTTTTTCTTTTTCAGAATGTATTTTACAGATAAAAATGTCCTAATTAAAAAATTATTCTATATATATGGCATCCATTAATTTGAAATTTTAAGTAGCTAGTGTTCACAAGGACATGTACCTATCGAGAACCACCAGGTTAGCATGAAGGTTTGTAGTTTTCTCAAGAACAACAAGCTTCAACGGATGCCCCATGGCCAATTGCATAAAGGGAACCACCTGCATGGGATGGGATGGGAGTGATACTCATATAAAGTTATACATAAAATAAATAATATACCGGAAATGAATAATCTTTCCTCCATGAACGTTAATTTTCCACAGAGATTGCTTGGAAAAAAGAAAACGAACCCCTTTTTGTTCACACAGCTCAATTATCCCACGAGTCTCTTCGTTATTCCATTCGCTTCTAGATTTTAATGCTAACAAATTCCCAAAGTCATACGTCCAAATCCTTGTCTTGCATGACACTTTCTTAAAATAAAAAAATAAAAAAAGGAAGCATCAAAACTCAGCATGAAAACGACAAAAATATGTGTTAATCTGCAAACTTCTCTATAAAACTAGCAAGAAAAATTAAGATTCCTACATGCGAGGGGAATCCAAGGCATGACACCGAGGAGAGTAACGGTGCAATTAGATGGAATGACATGGTCGAGTGTCCATTGGAGAGGCCCCCAAGAGAATTGCTTCAATGCGTCCATCACGATTACAACATGCCTATCAGAACTCAGGCAGCCGGGTGACCCTCTTGGCACCAAAATTTCAGCCAATGTAGCGTTTGTATTTGCTGGTTTTGTGGTGGGGCGTTCTGGTGTTGCATCACTGTCAACATCTTCTGCTTTGATGCAAACCACCATCGAAATATATTTTACTGTATAACCGCGGAGTAAAAGAGAGAGATGTTTGCACCGTGAAAAAAAAAGTGAACAGTGAGAAAGGGAATTGCTTGCTGGGAATAGTTGTATTTATATGTAGGGGAGCCCCAAAGTTGATAGGGAACAAGACCACAGAAACAATTAAAAAACAAAACTGCATTGTTGTTGGAATAATAAAAGAATTCATGAAGAGATCTTGTTTTAATATATAGCATTATATAAAGCAAGAGTTACAAGGAATATTAGCATAGAAATGAATACCAATGAAAATATCTGCCGGCGACAAGAGAGACGTGTAAGGCCAATCAGTATTATACGACACTGTTGAGAAGCTATTGAAACTAGACGGAAATAACAAGTCTCTCCATTGGATGCGTTTGAGATTCCTACAAATTGGAGGCTTACTGTGTTTTGGGACTCTTAATTGTCACGCTCACTTATACTACTTCTTGCTTTTTTTTGCCAACACCCATGTCTTCATACTTCTTATACTGAGCTCAATAAAAAATTGGGTAACAATATATAGCCCATCGATGAAGTTCTCAAATCTAGCTAACGATATGGACCTCTGCTTTTCAGGTGCTGAAGTTTGGCCCATCTAAGTTTGTGTTTTTGTAAGAAAATTTAAAGCAAAATATATGTAGAATTCATATCTTCATCCATTTTTTTTTTTTTTTTTTTTAAGGTAATTGAAGTATCCAGACCTATATTAGAGTCTGCCTAATACTCATAGTCATAGAATACCCTAAGCTTAATGGAACAAAGTAATAACACAGATGTGATAAATACCTCTCTTATGACTCAAACACAAAACCCCTTAGATATAACTAACCCTAGTAGCTAAAGGGTTTGTCATATCTCAAGTCATTGATTTCGAAGAATTTTCATGGCTATTTTTTAATAAGGTGATAATAAATTTTATCATATTAGGATAAAAGCTCTGTTTCAATTGTATAAACATCTTAGAAAACATGTCAAACTTTTGAAATCTTGAATCTGAATCTTGATAAATTCTTCTCATAATATTAGAAGATAACAAATATAAAAGAATAGAAGTGGAACACAGGAATGGCCAAAGGGAAAATGAAATTAAACTCATAACGCTTAGATTACAAACGTAAAGATGAACAACAATCTGCCCACTTGATGACCATTACAAATGTCAAGCTATATTATTTGATTGAAGAATCCCACAAATGCTTGCTAATACTGCAGACAAATTCAAGCCACATAAAAACTAATTAAACATTTCACCACAAACAAACCAAACTAAGACACCGCAATGAAGAATAAGCAGCAACACTACCATATTTATAGATGACAATATCGTAACCATATAATATAATCTCTTAAACCCTGGAATCCAAAGCCATAATGGTGCTGAGATTCATCGGATGCATATACTGGGTGGATCCAGTCATGATCTGCTGTACGATAATTCTGTTGGCCTTCTCTGATGGATGAAATGGATCCCAAAATGCATACAAATCTCTGTTGGGGCACAAGTTTGAGGCGATTGTGCAGAGGCCAATGCCATTGTAGGGTCCTTGTCCGCAACACGCTATTTTTGATGTCACAAACCCTGTGAAAAATTGACCATATTTCAAAATTAACATGCATCTCACTTCTGCTAATCAATCTTCCTAATCCTAATTAGACAATTCTGGGTCCAAATCTAGCATCAATAATTGCCAGAGGACCAATGACGAGACATCAATAAAGGGCATTTACTCAATGTATCTGTTTTCATCATTCTGTCATGTTATTGTCAATCGGGTAGTTGCATCTATTAACTCATGTGAAGATATGACTGATTGACTTACCATATGCTTGAGGGTTACTGATGAAGTCCATGTGCATATCAAAAGCATTTGCAGCAACGAAAATATCTGATCCGATTTCGCTGTTGAGATTGTTTATCAGTTGGACAAGTTGTGGGTTAAACAAGCCAGCTGCTCGTTCCAATTCCACTGAACATTCACCATTTCTGCTACGCATAGCCAGCTCCGCAGGGACACAACCCAATGGCCCAGTTCCCGTGACCAAAACCCGACGTGCTCCTAATTCATACAGCCTCTGCATTGTCAGAAGTAGCAGTTTAATATAAAGTAATTAAGATTGTAATAGTTGTTTTCTTAATTAGTATATATATCTATATATATGATGTTGAATGTTTTTGAGGCTATTTTTAAGTAATTAGAATTGATGTGGATCTCATTGATTAAGGCTTTTTAATAAGGAAATTCTGATTCGTGAAGTTATAAATGGCTTCTGAACGAAACAGCAAAGTCCCTGTTGGCCTCACCAACCAAGCAAATCCTGTAATAACTCACTCTATCTTCACAAACTAGAAAGCAAATCTTATCAATCCATCATAAATACGTCCCCACATCATTATTATAATGTTTATTTTCTTCTGTTTCGTGACCATTAAATGAAAAAACTCCGATGATAATTACTTAATTATATAAAAAGAACCCAAAAATAAAATACATAACGTAACAAACATGGTAGTAGCTTGAGTGTTGTTTGTACCAAGGATAGTAAATTAAATAACCTGTAAGATTTTGCGGTACTCAGAAATAAGATACACAACGTAATCAGGAAGAGAAAACTGGCGAGATCGTGCAGAAAAGGGCACCAAATAGTAGTTGTTGACGAAGTCATTGCCGCCAAGTGTGATGAGGACAAGGGCTTCGTTTACCAGTCGTTGAGTCTGCTCAGCTCCAATAAGTGCACTGACTCGCTGCTGGTATTGCTCAAAATACTGCAACTGCCTGGTGATTCGGATAATATTCAGCTGCAAAAGTCAAATGAATTGGTTATAACTGAATGTTCTTTGGAGGGGAAAACTAAAGTGAATGAATAAGTTTTATTTACAAATTGGATTCCAGTGTCATTGAGAATTCCGATCCCTGCAGAAGCAAAGTTTGCACCGACGAGAAGCCTCTCTCCAGTGAGTGCTGGGCTCAAGTATGGCAATGTGGGTTCCATGCCAATTTGCTCACCTGATCATGATAAAACATGTCAACATAAATATAACTATCACATACTAACTAGAATAAAACCACATATATAATCTGTCTCCGGCCAAGTCTTTTCTCTTAGATAAACTTACTGATAAGATCGGGAATGTTAAGTCCATTGGAGAAACGACCAGTTGGTCGATGAGTAGGATAGTCAATGCCATACGGGTATGAATCAGCTCGTGCAGTAGTGGCAAGGTAGTTATTGTTGCCATTATCGACAAGCGAATCACCAAACACAAAGAACGCCCTTGCCTCAGCTCGAGGAGCAACACTCCCCAGTGTGATTAACAGACCTAAAATGAACCAGGAAGCGATACCTGAGGAGCCAGCTGCGGCCATAATGAAACCTTAAAACAGCTAGAACTTGAGTTTGGGAAACTTAATTTAACTCCACCCTTGGAGATGAATGAGTGAATATATATATATATTTAAGGATTGCGTTGTCTACACTTTGATGCATTATTAAATGGTGAGTTCTACCACCAGTGGAGTTAGATAGGGACTTTAGATGCTAAAATTTACGGTTATGGAAAGAAAGTCTAATCCTGTGAGGTTGAGGCCACTGCAATCCACTGAACCTACACACAAAGCAAACAAGCGTGAAGCTTATGTGAATACCGATACATGTGGTGTCTGTCGTAGGCACTCTAACGCTCAAGTCAATAAGACTGAAAAAGGCAATTTAATGAGAGCTAAGGGAAAGAAGGGTTACTAAAAGTTTAGTCGAAGACTAAAACTACAACGTAGGGTGTATTACTCTTAGGAGTAAAAGCTTGGGAGAAAGTAGGTGGTATTGAGATTGAATGCCTAATGAGAGGCGTGACCTCTATTTATATAGTAGTCATAGGATCTTCATATCCTAGTAGGACTTTGAGTCCATAATGGTAGAGATTTAGTGAATAGGAAAGATCCTGATTTACTTGCCTCAGTAGGATTAAAAGTCCTAATTCTCATAAGATGCAGAATTTTGGGCAAATTAGGATAAAACCCAAATAGGAAATAGGTGTATTAGGGCTTTTAGTGAGACCTTCAGAGGCCATCATGGACCAATGGGCCTAGCCCTAGGTAGGCTAATGGCGATACCCAATCTGGAGAGAAGTTGGGTTTAGGCCTTGTGTTTGGCCCATGACATGAATTCTGACATAGGCCCAACCGGAATTGGGCCACGACCTTAGACTTACATAGTAGAAATTACCTGCTTATCAGGCCCAAGATGATTTTTGGCCCATACATTTAGCCCCCTACTCTCTAAGCTAAGGAGTACTTAGCTTCAAGAGTAATCACTCTAAATAGAGGTCAATCAGGCCGGAGATGGTGTTCTATCTTGAGGAATGAAGGTGGTCCTTTTTAGATGTCCCTACTCAGCTGAACAAGCTGAGTGGTAGGATGCAAAATGCACCTTTGTAGATGTCCCCACTCAGCTAACCTAGCCGAGTGGTAGGATGCCAATACATCCTTTGTAGATGTCCTCATTCGACTGACCGAGCCAAGTGAGTTGATGCAAGGTACATCCTTTGTAGATGTCCTTACTCGGCCAACCAAGATGAATGCAAGTGTCGTCTACTTATGAACTTTTGTATGAAAGATTTCACCACTTCAAGGACTAGAGCTCGAGTCGACTTGTCCAAGCGAGGTGAGTTTTGTCTGAGTGCAATTTGGTGGTGCCAAGAGAATGAGACGTGTGTAATGTAGGGTTTCGTAGACTTTGAGCGAGAAATGGAAGATTGCAAATCCCAAGGTGAGCCTATCACGCGACACGTGTATCGTTGGGATTTCATCTTCCTGTTGAGCGGGAATTTGAAAAGTCACAACCAATCAAATGTTGCCGCGTGTGACCTCTGATAGGTTGGACACTTAGAAAATAGGGGAACGCGGTTGGGCGACTATACATCTACATTTGCTACCGTTTCACTTTCTCTCAAAGTCTTCTTTTTTGCAATAGCACTTCTCGACGATTATAGCCATTGTTCACGGTAAAATTCTACTTCTTTACAGAAATCGACTTCTTTTCTCTTTGCTTTCATTCTCTTTGCATTTTTGAGGCAGTTTGGGCAAGTTTAGACAAGTTTTCTCAAGTGATTTGGTGTTTTTCCAGTTTCTTTGGTTTTGTTTGAAGTTTCTGGAAGTTCGAGTGAATTTTTCTGGGTTTGGTTTTATTTTGGGGTAAGGACTAGGTTATTGGGGTAATTTTGTTTGGATTTTGGGAATTTTGAGGTGTTTTTAGAGAGTTCTCTTTAAAACGAAAGGAAGGCTAAAACGAATCTGGGAATTCTGGGAGTAGTGGGTTTTCTAGAAGAAAGAAGAAAGGATTAAGTTACCTAGTGTCTCCATTCGGCTCGCCTAGTGCACTTAACTGAGTCAAGCGATAACTCCTAGGATTAGCGTAGCTTTGGAGCCGGTTAAGGTTAAGGTTGATTTGGTCATCTGGTCGGTCAACTAGACTGAGTTGAGTGTAGTGAGGGAATTTGAAGTGGTGAAGACTACTACTTCGATGTCGTCACATACCGAGTCGAGTGAGGAGAATTAGAGGGAGATGAAAATGGGAGGTGAGTATGAGAATGCTCCCACTATGGTGGTACTGGAGAAGAAGCTGATGTGCCAGTAGGAATTCCCAAAGGGCTAAGTGTAGCTATGGCCTAGCCAACTCCTATTGAGTCGAGTGATGATGACTCTGATGGGGAAGGGGAAAGTGGAGAAGAGAGTGATGGAGAGCCAAGCAACAATCCCGAGGACAAGCCCTCGACAAGTGGGAGTTTTAGGGATGAGCCAAGCTGACCAGGCGATGGTATCTTACCATTGGATTATCCCTCCGAGCTCACGCAAGATGACAAGTGGAGAATAAGAACCATATACCACATACCAAACTCAGTAGAGATAAGGTTGCCGAAGCACTATGAAAGAGTCGATTGGATGCGCCAAGATGGATCAGCATGTACGACATGTACTTCTATGATGGGCCGAGGTTGTTGATTCCCTGGTTGATTTGGGAGGTTTTGAATCACTTCATGATTGTGTCGACTCAAATCATGCCAAATGGATGGAGGTTGTTGATGTCATTGGAGCTCCTTTACACCATGAACTGGGTGAGGTTTCGATTGCACGAGCTCCTTTATTCCTACTACCTGAAGGAGCACGACAAGGACAAGGGCAAGTATACCGTTACCCTGAAGCATGACTGACTCCACCTGGTTGTTAGTAATCGACGAACGATGGCAATAGAAAAACAAAAAAATATCGCTTATTGATTACTCTGATTTTGCCAAGATTAGGGTCTAATGTGTATATATTTTACATGCTTAAATAGAAATAAAGAAAATCTATACAAGGACTAGATTATACCTGCGATTGGAGGCTCTATCAATGTCTCTAAATGTGATTCGCTATTGATTCGAGAATGGATTTGAACTCACGTCGTCCACATGAAGACAGTACACCAATAACCAAGAATTAATTTTGATAGAATTAATTCTTGGCTTTAAGGAGTCAAGTAATGAAAGAGAGTGAATAGAGAAGAGACCAAAAATTCTTCTCTCAATTTCAATGCACAGCCGGGGAATGAATTAGGTTCAATAAACCTAATTTTGCTTCATTTATATAATGAGGCAAATATCCCTTCCACCCTCAAGTTTAGCAACAACCCAAACTTAGGTAAAATTACATATAAACCCAACTTAATTATTTAGTTTAAATATTAATATTAACTCTAATAATTAAATTTATAATTTTACTTAATTTCTCCAATAATAAAATTGGACATAGGCTACAACATCAGTAAATTTAATTACACAGCAAAATTACCAATATGGCCATTCATCTAAAAGACAAATATACCTTTCCAAAAAGTCACCATCTTTAAACTGTCTTCTAAGTGTGTGACCCATAGGCTCCTTATAATATTGGTAGTAAGTAGTATCGCGATTGATACCAATCAATCATCTTACTACACATAGACCAAGTGTTAGATTAGATGCCCTAGAGCCAATCAATTATTGTAGAATTGACTCTTTGTAATAATGTTCATTAATCAATAAAAGGCACTTTATACTATATCACGTAAATCATTATTATTGCAATATGTATTGATATATGTCCTTAGAATGGTAGAACCGTGACGAGGGTATCAAGTGTTTCAAATCTTGATAGCGAGAACCCTATGAGCACATATGGTGGCCATTCTAGAAACGTCCGTAGCCCCAGTATTATTCTGAAGTAAGGACACAGATAATACGGTAAGGCTATCATAGTGTTGAACGACCCTGTCGAAGGCAGTGACTGATCTCACTTGTCAAGGTTGTCTGTGACAACCTGTGCACACATGGGTGCTTGCTGTAGGCGATTACACCGCAGCAAGTTCACTGGACTGACCCACCAGAGGATTCCATATGATGGTAACCCCAGTGTCTATGGAACAAATCCTCTAACGAATGGTGGTGCATGTGATCCTTAGACTTGAGATCACCGGAGCGCCTTGTGCACCGATTGTGTAGTTGACACTAGCCTAACGTAGTTCTTTTAGAGCTGTCAATACTGGTGATTGGCTGCATCGAGGAGTGTTCAAACTATGGTGGATTGACATAGGATTCTCCCTCCCGGGTATGGGAGAAAGTTGTCTCAGGCGCAATTCAGTATATGGCAATGACACTAAACTGTGGCCCACAGTGGGATTGAGTTGTTGCTTTATCCAATTTATAATACGGGTCATTGGTCCAGAAACTGAATAAATAATACGAGAGTAACCGAAGGTTGACACTATTTCGGCCTTCGTCTCGTCGAGATAACGTATGATGAAAGGATCGAATTGCGGTAACCATATCGTTGACAGGTAGCTACTTTGCTGAATCCGAATCTTCGGGTGGCCATAATGCCTTGCTAGGGGCCAATCTTGGTCTGTGTATTAGTGAACGATTAATTGGTGTTAATCATGATACTATACACTGCCGATATGATGAGGATCGTGGGTCACACACATAGAAGATAATTTAAGATCCAAGAAGAAAGAAAGGCGTTTTCGTCTTTTAAGGCGAAATGGTATTTTGGTAATTCACAGTGTAATTAAATTGGCTGAGGTAGTAGCCTTTATTAATTTGTTAGAAATTAATAAGTGAAATTACGTTTAAATGTGTGTTCGCACATATTAATATTTATCATTATTGTTATTTTATATATATTATAATATATATATATTATATATATAATATATTATAATATTTAAATAAATATATATATATAATATATTATATATATATATATATATAATTATATATATATTATATATATATATATATATATATAATATTAATTGATTTTAATTGAGATAATGATGGAAAAAATAAATCAATTGGGAGTGTTTGGCAACAGGGGCGTTTAGGTTGGAGCCCAACCT